TAAAGGCTCAACATGTTTCCTATTATTATTAGGTTACTAAAATGGTCCATTAGAAAAAGCCTATCCTAGGATGATTCTAAGGTCATTTTTTATCTTTCAAAGCTCTATTTCATGAAAGAGAAGAAGCCAGATTGTCAGGAACTAAAGAACAAATAGTTAAGAAGAATGAAAAGAGAAGTTATGCCATTTTTTCTATTATTGTTGCTTTTGGCTACTGTTCCATTTCCTAGCCATAGGAGCCTCAGACTCCAGATCATATGTCATTCAACTGTGAAAAATTCCTCAGGTAGAGTTGGCACTTCCTGACCCATGTTTTCCTAGCAGTTTGTGTGTGTTTTTTGAATTATAATCATAACCACAAACATGATACCTTTGATTTATTAAGCACATGTCACTGGTGTTCAATATAATTCTGCCTTATCTATTATGCACATCTGCTATGCCAAATAATAACAGGAATTATTGCTCCTACTTTGCAGATAAGGAAACTGAGGTCTAGATAAGTCAAGACAATTATATAAACCCACCAGTTAGAAAATTTTAACACAGATTTGAACAATGGTCTGACCTATTCTAAGCCAGCTCTAGCTGTTCACCACACTGCCTTCCTCCTTTCACATGATATTTGAACTATTTGTTTAAATGTCTGGCTCCTTGTTTAGTCTAAGAATTCCTAGGAGCCAGAGACTCTCTCTTGCACATACATGTATCTCCAGCAATTAATACTAGGTTTAGTAGGTAGGGAGCACTATTTGATAATTGTTTATCAAAATAATTGAATTAATGAATGAATTGGATGAATGAACTCTTATTTTTAGAAAATTCAGTGGAGGGAATACTTTTTTCTTGTGCATCTAAGTTCATGCATTAAAATGGCCTCCATATGGTTCATGTTAGTGGTCTTCTATCCTGCAGTTTTGCCAAATTCACTCAGTAGTTTTTACCACTTTGAGATTCTTTAGGATCTTCTACAGATATAATCATGTCATCTGCAAATGAAGATAGCTTGCCTCTCCCTTTCCAATGTCAATAATCTATTACCGACAGTTCATTCTTTTCCATTGTTGTAGAGTATACCAATTAATTTGTAGAATACAATTCCTTTAAATATATGGGGATTTATGATTTTATGTTAATTAGAATAATGTCTTAAAAAGACCTAACGTTAAAATTTTTCAAGTAAAATGGAAATGTGTGTCCTTTTCTGAGACACTGTGACTGGCGCAGGGAGTGAGAGAGCATGTGTGTTCCACCGCGAATGTTAGCCCCTAGCCGCTCTCTGCCTGCATGATCAGAGCTGGTCTCTGACGTTCACCTTCCAGTTTGCAAGAAACGGGGAAAGAAGCAGCTCTATTTCCTACTAGGAAAATGAGTGGAAGTTGCCTGTATCTCTTCTATTTCTGTTTCACCAGAGAAAACACAGTTACATGGTTGCACCTACCTGAAGCTAGGAAATGTAATCTCTAGCTGGAAAGTTAGAAAAAGGTAGGAAAGATTGGGATCAATTATCAGACTGCCACAATCTCCAAAAGCAAATCCAGTAACACTTTTACTTATCTAATGGTCAGACTTTTGGTCAAACACCCAGGAAAAAAAGGTACGATCCTTTCCAGTATGTGAAAATGCCTGAATGGAATGGACAAACGTGTCCCAAAGTTCTCCTCTCTATTGCTTATGAGAGCCGGGAAGTTCTTTCACCTCTAGAATACACTAACTTAGCATTGTGTGCAAAATTAGGGCTTGGATCTGTGATTTTTCCCTGGCATGCTTTGATTTTTCCTAGGTTACTGCTGGAAGGAAATGAAACACATCAAAGATGTGGAAAAGTGGAGGGAAGCCACTAGGTACAGACACTCTGGCTACAGGGCAAAGAGACAGCTAACTGCAGGGATGGAGACAGAACACACCAAGAAGAAGGACACAAACAGTCTAGGATAATATAATGCAGAGAAAATATCCCTAAACCTACCTGAATATTCTCTGAAGGCATCATGGTGTTGCTGACAAGTACAGAGACTGATCTCCATGAGGGTGAACCATGTGAAATCACCCCTCGAAAACGAGTCTAGGATTTACTATTATACATATCCACTCCATCTCTCTTTCCTCTTCCTGTCTCCTTTACATTAAAAACCAATTCTGGGATAATTCTTATCCCAATTAAACAAGATTGAAATCAACATTAAGAAAATACCCTTAATGAGAAATGAAATTTAAAGGGAAACCTATAGCCTAATAGGACTATTGCTGTGTGATTCACAATGAAGGTTAAATGGTCCAATTTCACAGAATATTTAGTACAGTTTATAAAGATATATTTAATAGATAAAATTAAAATGTTTCCATTTTTTAAGAGTAAATTACCCAGACAGCCCCATTACCCAATTAAATGAAGTAAATCATGTATTTATGAGTTAAATTTAATTGGCTGGGCATTTAATAGTTTCTCATTCTTTTTTATATTTTATTACACAGTGAAAACATATTTGATAACAATGAGACTATGGTATGGATATGTTTAAAGTTATAGCTTACATTGGCCATAATAGTGTGATGTGGTGTATGTGTATGTGTGTGTGTATGTGTTTTGTCAGTATTCCTAGCCTTGAATCTGAACTTAAGAACAAGTGTATATTAATGAATCAATTTTAGAATGTTATTTGCTGTCATTTATAATGAATTTCATACAAAGGAGAAAAATGATAATACACATAATCAGAAAGCAACTTATATTTTATTTAAAAATGTGTCTCGGCTGGGAGAGGTGGCTCACGCCTGTAATCCTAGCACTCTGGGAGTTCAAGGCAGGAGGATCGTTTGAGCTCAGGAGTTCAAGATCATCCTGAGCAAGAGCAACACCCCGTCTCTATTAAAAATAGAAAGAAATTAGATGGACAATTAAAAATAGAGAGAAAAAATTAGCCGGGCATGGTGGCACATGCCTGTAGTCCCAGCTACTTGGGAGGCTGAGGCAGGAGGATAGCTTGAGCCCAGGAGTTTGAGGTTGCTATGAGCTAGGCTGGCCCACAGCACTCTAGCCCAGGCAACAGAGCAAGACTCTCTCTCAGAAAAAAAAAAAAAAAAAAAAAATATGTGTCTCTGTGTATATTTGTATCTGATTTGGGTATTCCCAATATTCCAAACAAATAATAATGCAACACGGCACAGGTCTGGATTGAAAAATTTACAAAGCTTCCAGCTTCCCCCTCTTCACCTCAGCATAGATAAGAATCAAGAGAATTCTGTTCAACTCCATCCAACAGGTCTTATGTGTATCTACTATTCATTGATTTGTGATCTTAAGTACCAAAAATCATCTTTAGCTAGCTTCAGCTCCAAAGGGAGAATTTGCTATAACGATAAAGAGCAAAAGACTGGGTCTAAAACACAGAGTAACCAAGACATGGAAAGTCATCAGAAATCTCTGTCTGCATGGCTGCTTCATTCATAATCATCTCCTTATTTTGAAGGACATTTTCTACTTCTTTAGACCATGTACATGTTATAGGTCTACATAGGCAGGTAGACTTGTAATCTCTGAATCATATTTTCAAACTTCCAGGAAAGGGAAACATACAGGCCCAGGTTAGTTTAGGTTTCTACTCCTAATCCTATTAGCTGTCACTGATGTGGCAAAATAACATATATAACTAGAGCCAAAAGGAAAATATCCCTATAGATGGGGAAGTAGTTCCCAGAGAAACGGGATTATTAAGAAGTGAGCAGATAGCTTCTAAATTGCTTTTATATATTTAGCCCAGAAATAAGCATTGTGGAAACAAAAGAGTTGCTTGTAGTGTAATTTCTGTCCTTAAGAAGGTCATAATCTCATAAACCTATGTATACCCATGATGGACTAAAATTTAGCGCAATGATTACATACTGAAGTGATGGTTTTGATCAAAATGGAGATGAGGATAGTGGCAACATGATGGAACTTAAAATGCAAAGAAATGGGTTCAGATCTTGGTTCTGGCTCCTTGTCTTTATGGTTCTTTGGATGGGTCACAAACCCTTCATTTGTGGGTCTTCAACTTGTTATTTGTACAATGTGGATGATTATATTTAACCTAAAGGTATTTAGTGATAATTAAATGCAGTACCTACAAAATCCATAGTATATAGCAGAGTCAAGGCTACAACAATAATTTGTTTCACCAAACATGCATTAGACACATAACTTTGGTGAAGCCCTGGACTAGATGTGGCAGTAGAGTTAAGATCCAGGTGTTGGTCGTCCTTAGGGAAATCACAGTCTGTTGAGGGTGGGAGACAGATGGACAGATACTTTCAATAAAATGTAGTATATTTGTTGACTATAATTCTAGAGGTGATTTAGATTGACCCAGGAAGGTTTCAGGGAGGTGCTAGGACATGATGAATGAGGCCATATGTTGGTGGGTAGGATTTAAACCAGAACATTCCTTATCAAAACAGGGGAAAGCCTTGAGCTAACTTAGCTCTGCAAGGTTGATGGTTCACATTTTCTCTATGGCAAGAAAAATAAATTAGTAATTTAAAAGACCTTTTCCAAACACTGGTGCTCTTAAATAAAGGGGCTAATGGAAATATCAATACAGTTTTTAAGCAGATTTTTAGTGTAGTAAAGGAAGATCCACAGTATCAATAATTTACCTGTAGGTAATTGAGAACATGTTTTCTGTGTTCAGTGAAAATGAAAATACTCAAGAAAAGAAATGTACATTTGATTTAATGCTATAAATTCAGGAAATTCATGCTGCAAGGTAACAATAGATACATTTCAAAGCCACCTTTGCTAGATTTAGCTAGGAAAAAAAATGAGAAAAAGGAATGATACCAGTATTTCACTATTTTAAAGTTGCTGCTTTGATATACTATTCAAAGCCTGCCAGGATGATGTACCATCTCAGAACAATTTGTTCACTTCACTTAGAAATTAGAAATGTTTTAGCCAATAAATCTAAATTTATTTTGTAGTAGTCACTTTTCTTAATGGAAGTGTTTTCCAGATGTTGCCTAAGTCTAGTCGTCTGGGCCTACTTCCAAAACATGAGGAAAGTTTGATTTCATAGGTTGTCACTGTTGATTTTGTCTAACCTTTGGACTAATTGGTTCATCCCAATATATTTGCACTGATATATAAGACTTCCAGCACATTGGAGAAATTCATCTATCCATTTACCGGTAAGTGTCAAAGTTAACTTGCTTCATGGAATTAAGTGTGTTTTCATTAAAGGTACTTGAAAAAGATTTATAAAGACAGTACCTGGAAATTTTTTAAAAAGATATTTATGCAATACACCTGTTGGAAGCTTTTATAATTTATATTGAGAGTAAAGGGAAAGTTGGAACAATAACTCCACTATGCTTGTTAAATTAAATTTTATTGAAGCCAGTTATTTTTTCCCCCCAAGATAGAATTTAAAACTTGCACTGTAAATATATGCTACACTTTGAATAGGGTTTTAAGGTAAGTCTGTTTTCTATGTTGGAGATTTTTAAGGTATTAAAATGGTCAATAACATAACTGAGGGTAATGATGATTTGTTCTGCATAAGAGTGAATATGATGGTCAGATATTTTCTATAGAATTACTTTAAAAAGAGTTGTTTCAAGAATGGGATATTTTTATTATTAAATTACATTTTAAAGTTATTAAAACCTTGTGTGTAACACAAGCAAAAGTCAGTGGTGAGATAAAAGAGCAGTTTTCTGATACTTGTATTTTATTTTCAGCAAGGGTGTAGTACCTGAAAACAACCATGGAGTGGAAAATATTTCCCATTCACGTATTGCTGCTGCTTTCTGTTTTTTTGATTCAGCAAGTTTCATCTCAAGGTAACTTAACCATCAAAAATACTTTTGCTTAACAACTATTGCTAGTCATTGTCCTGATTTTTAACAAATGAAATTAATTTCTAAAAATTGATATTTTAGAAATTGATACCTTAATAAAATGTGAAACATATGAAGCATATGTAGGAATGATTTGGAATTCTCACCTTTTTCTTCTGCATTATGAAAACTTTCAAGAAATTTTGAGCTTTTGTACAGAATAATTATGGTTTTCATTATTCCTCTGGTTCTTCCAAAAGTTTAAAAAATTCAGACATATGATAAAACTATACTGGAGCTATACAATATCATCAAAATAACTAAAAGTACAATATTTATCATATAATTTTTGCCTGTATGGTGACAAAAAAATTTAACTAGTCTTTTACATCAAGTAAATCATTGATAAATAACTTATTTTGGCATCATGTAGACAAAGATATCATATTATAATGAACATTTACAATGTTTCAAATGGTATTTTATTAATCTTGAAAGTATTTTCTATTATAAGGACTATTCGTTCAGATATAGACTTATACAAATGTGACTGTCATTTTGTGTTACAATATTGAACTATTCATGGACCTCCCAGAACAGAGTCAGTCCTGGACGAACAGTCCTTGTTATTCCTTCTTAAAGAATGTTAAGAACATTCACTGTAATCACATTAGCAAAAGTTGCTTGCATGAGATCTAGATTGATCAGTGTAACAACACCAAGATCTCTCTTTTCCTTTTTTTTTCTTTTGATAAGCAAAATCTGAGAGAAGAAAAATCAAGATTCATGACTGTTATGGTGAAATTACATTTCTAAAGTAGACAGTTCCAGTAAAATAACTAAAATTCTTATGAAACCTGAATATGAGAGATAACTGCCTGCACAGGCATAGTTGCAGAATTGCTTAGATAAGATGGAAAAACACATGAAAGCAAATATGAATATTTCATAAGGAATTATGACTACTCTGGTATCTCCAGATCCTTCAGCTCTCTCATAATATTACTACAAGGCTCACAAAACTGGGTACATTTCCTAAATTACCTTTTCCTCTGTAATACAATCAAGTTTTCACTAAAACCATTTTACTTTCCTTTAAACAAATGAAATTAAGATTAGTCGTTAAAATTAACAGGAACAAAAGTAGGACATTTAATTTATGAAAATAAACTTTTCCTGTAAAGATAACTGATTTCTTATTTAAGAAATCTGCCAACTGTAAAAGAACACTCTTTTGATGTTGTCTTGTCTGCTTCTCTTGCTTTCTCAACCTCTTCTCATTCTTTTTTCTTTATATATATGTATTTATATATATATACTATATATGCATTTTCATGTCTTATGCATATATGCATGCAAAAAGACCTGAAAGTTGTCCTACTATTTACTGTTGTATTTGCATATTCAGACTTTAACTTTCCTGGACTCTATTCTTTTGAGATTTTTTTTTCAGTGTGTTTCAACATTCCTCTATGGATTTAGGACATTGCATCTGCCAATTTCTATTCCAGAGACGGATTCCATTGTTATGTTGCTGCGGTCAACTCTCAGGGAGGTTTCTAAGGTGTTGTTTTCCAAGATTTATTTTAAAACAAATTAGAGGATAATTGTGCTTTTGTTATTGTTTGTTTCTGTCCAGAAAAACTCCATTCGTGACCTTTATATTCAAGTCCAGATGCTATTTCAAGAGTTCACTATTTTGTACTAACTTTAGCAGTGGTTCTAAGCATCTGGTGTTCCCAACATTTAAAGTATCCAGTTATTCCCAACAATAAAGGAGGAGAATGCCTAGTAAAGTTCATGCTGGCATAACGAGCTTGCTTTAAACTCGGCATCAGGAATGAGAGGCAATGTAATTGGGTGGAAAAAGCTGGGGTTTTAGAGTCAGATACATCAGAGTCCAAATTCTGGATGGACTGTTTACTTAAGATGACTATATAATTTATTATCCAAATTAGGGCACTTATAAAAGAAGTCAGTACAAATAATTAATAGATATTAATTGACCTGTAATATAGGTGTACTAGAACTATTAGCTGTGTGCCATTGAGCAAGTTATTATAATTTCTGTGTTTCAGCTTCCTTATTTCTAAAAAAGGGATACTAATACTCTCCTGGAAACATTTTCATAAGCATTAGGGACAATGTTTGACTCAGTACCTGGCACAGAGATGCTCAATAAATGGCAGCTGGTAACCATCATAGCCATAGCCACTTCTCCGTTAGGAATATCACTCTCTTTAGCAGAGCCATTACTTTGCCCGATTTCAGAAGTGTATTTATCTTCTCAAGCCTAGCGAAGAATAAAGTGACATGATCAAGATCACATCAAAGATCAGCCAATTATTGACTGGGCCTGTTGCTAACCATCATTCCAACATTTCCCCAATTGATACAATTCTCTCAACAAAGTGGCTTTGTCCCCCTCATTAGATCTCTCCCTCTCTGTGGTCTGGCCATATTTACGCTAGTATTGTATAATTTTAGATTTATCAAGCTGTGCAGGGAGATGTGGGGAAGGGTATTCTAGAGATGCCACCTGCAACTGTGACTATAACTGTCAACACTACATGGAGTGCTGCCCTGATTTCAAGAGAGTCTGCACTGTGGGTAAGTCCCGAGAGCTGGCGTCTCATCCTGTCAAGCGAGGCTGCGCAGTGAGCCGCCCCTTGCACCCCTTTGCAGCGCTGTTTTCCCGCGCCATTTTGCTTCCTTTGCTTAAGTGCCTTTCCCTTCACTTGCATAAATGTTGCGGTGCTCTGTCCTTACGGATGGTGTCAAGGCTTGTGATTACTGGGGGAGGGTAAGAGGAGCCTGGAAATCTGTCACTTGCACAAGGTTACTAATTCAAGTAAAATGTCTTGTTTTAAATAGAGACAACACTGTGACTCAGGAGACATTAAGTAGTTAGTAATGGGTAATTATTTACTAATGATCGGAAATGTAATTGCTTAGAGTCTTTTAGTAAGTTCATCAAAAGAATTCATAGCATAGACTAATCTTGTCTACTATTTGACTTTTTGATATTAACATGTTTTTAAATTATCTAAAAAAGGCTCTATAAAGTACTACTGTTAATAATGATGAGTTTCCGTTAAAACCCAAAGGTCTGACTTTTAAGTTATGGGTGGTATTTCACGTGAACATATTTTGGGGTCATTTTCTCATTAACACAGAAAACATTTCATATTCAATTTATGAAAATTATAATTAAAATTATTTAGAGTTATAATTGCTTTACAATTTGCATGTGAAACTGATAAATATTGTTGCACAATTTGTGTATTGGCTAAGGTAATTATTTCTAACAGGCCTTGGTGAGTCACTGTACCTCTAAACAAGGCTTTTTTTGAAATGAGCAGGCCTCACTTTTACAGTCCACACCATGGGATTAGACTGAAATCCTTTATCTTTGCACTCTGCCTAGCTTGTCATCATAAAGGTCTCTGCATTATAAATAATTTTCAAATCCAAATTGTGACCCATTTATATTAAGCCACCTCTTTGGAATATATTGCCATAAGATCTGAATATTTAATTAATATAAATGAATTACAAAGCAATGGTGTGAAGAGACGATGGAGGGATTTCATGTGAGGTCCCTTCACTATGCAGACATTTCCCAATTTTCTATTGTCCATACATATATATGACTCAGGTAGCACTGAGGTGTCTTTTGGAGCCTTAAAGGACATGAAAAGTTACTCTAAGTCATCATATTTCTTTCTCGACTTGGGCTGTCTCCATTTGGGACACCATCCATCTTTAACTGGATCACGTACTTCACATTCTAAATAAAAGACTGAGACATGCACTGTTGGAACTCTAGTCAGCTATGAAATGAGAAATGGCTACCAAGCACACGGGTAGGGCTTCATGCATAATAATCTGCAATGTTTTCTTGTGCTCTGGGTAGAGCTTTCCTGTAAAGGCCGCTGCTTTGAGTCCTTTGCGAGAGGAAGGGAGTGTGACTGTGACTCCCAGTGTAAGAAGTATGGCAAGTGCTGCTCCGACTACGAGAATTTCTGTGAAGAAGGTAAGCATCACAGTACTGACCAATGTCTCTCAGTACGGCTGCTCTGTGCACCGATCCCAGTGTCACTGATAACATTTAACATGCAGTCCATCTAAGGTCTTGATTTTACTAACTCATCAACTATTTCATAACAATTTTGTTTCATGGAGATGAATTAAAGAAGCAAAGCATCTTCGAACAGCAGCAGCTGCAGGCTCAGTTGGGCTCTGGGAGCACAGGAGACTAAGTCACAGAGAGGATGGGACAGAGTGTACATGCTTTTTCCCTCAGATGTGGTTCAATTTCAGGTTAAATCAACAGTAATCAACTCATTTGATGATTTCTTGTCTCATCCTTGCTGATTTCACAAAGTCAACTGTTCTTCGAGCTATCTGTGCTTTTGGCCTCAATGTTTGAGTGTATATATAAGGATAGAATCGACACTTTTAGCTTTTCTAAACAAGTAAATTTGCGAAGTAGTTTAAGCCACTAAAATTACGGGCAAATCTGCTAAAAAGTCAACTGTCAGTTATATGTTCCTTCCCATCTCTACAGTCTCCTCAGTAGTCTCTGCTCAAGTGTCTGTACATGACAGTCAAAAAGGATAGCTCCATTTCAGATCCTCCTCTCTGGTTATAGGTCCTGAAGGAGTACTCTGAGAGTATAACAACACCCTCCACTTGTTACAAAAAAAAAAAAAAAAAGATTGAAAAAATATACTTAAATAATGAATTTTCTTGTATCAAATGTTTGTCTTAAATCCTACTTTGTTAAAACGAGAATATTTGGGGAGGTAAAAGTGAAAATAAGCATTGCTTGCATAATCTTATCATTTTATTTAAACAAGGCTGCACTTCCCGCTCCTTTAAAACAGTGGAAAAACAGTGAAAAACTGTTAATCGGCAGAGTTGAGGGATGTTTCTTAACTGTTCAATGTTTCCATTGGAAAGCATTCCAAAAATAATGAAGACAACACCCTTGTAATCAAAACTTAGGGCTCATGAAACCAGGTGGAAAAAACAAAACATCAAACAAAAAAGCGCCCAACTCAGAGCTCAACATTCCTGTAGCTTTTGGAAGGCCCCATGATGAGAGACACATATTTACTCCTTACCCTGATAATTGTTTTGGCTGCAAAACAAAAAGCTAAGAATCTATTTTGGGCAGAGAATGGGTGGAGAGGAAAGATGATTAGAGAGTGATGAAGCACTGAGAGAACACTTTACTAAAGACAGTACTTTACGCTATGAAGTGTTGGGTCAGATTATCTGAGGTTTAGGAAGAACTCATTGAAAAAAAGTGATGAAGGCAATGCCAAGCAACTTCATTTACAGCAATCATCAATCAGGCTCCCAAATAATGGAACCACTCAGAGCTTCAAGACTTCATTTTTTAAGTTATTTTGAGACTCACCACTTAGTTGTTTCAATATAAATATGGCTTATAGGCAACTACCTAAAAATCAAAGCATTTTAAGCATTGAAGGAATCACAGCTGTCCAAGTGCTTCTGAATGTGGGTGAGAAAACTTGAGTGCAAGAAGGTAACTCACTGTTTTGCCCAAGAGCATTAGCTACTACATGGCAGAGCTGTTTGAGATAGTTGATGTTCTTGTTAGGTGGGAGGAGAAACAAGAACAGTGGTTAGCTCATGGGGTCTATAGCAATAAAGTTCCGAGCAGATATCTGGTGGGAGTAGCAGGATTTATCACAGTTCTTCTGTACTAGAGAGTCCCCATTGCTCTCTGTTTTCTTATCTTTCAGAAATTCCTCTTCCTTTCTTCTGGTTCCTAATGATCAAAAAATGCTGTATGTCTTCTCATCTAGATATGAAAAGGGGTAGGAGTGAAGGGGATAAAAAGTTAAAAAGATTTACACCAAAATATTAATGGCTGCTTATCTTTGGAAGGGAAGCGCATTTTGAGGAAAAGTGTAATGTGAAAGTGTGAAATTTTCACAAGAATAAATATTCATATAGAACTTTCGTAATTAAAAAATAACTGAAAGGTAAATTCATATCATTTGATTTAAATGAACATGAAAATAGGAAAAATGTAATTATACTCTTATCAAGAGCATAAATATCCTGTCATCCACATGCAGTATTATTTTTATAATTACAGAAGATAAAGCTTATAGAATTAATTTTTTTAGGCAAGCAAATACCTTCAGAGACCATCTGGAATAAACATCTGTTTGTAGACAAGAAAATGAGGTTCAAGATGAGTTAGCCTATGTGCCCAAGGTCACAGTGATAGAGGCTTGTAGAACTAGGACAGGAATTCAGGTTTTCTGATTTCCTGAGACTGCTCCCAGTCATAACTTTCAATCTGAGAACAAATATTTTATAACAATGCATCCTCAGCATGAATTGGTTTGGAGCCATTAGTGTTGTGCTAGAGCCTGCCTGCAGTGGCTTTCACCAGCATCTACTCTTGAAGCCAGATGCATCTGTGCTTTTCAGTTAGGGTTGCTCATGAATATAACCAGGATGTTAACTGACCTGTCTTGCTTGGCCTCAGTGCATAATCCCACATCACCACCATCTTCCAAGACTGCACCTCAGCCTCCAGGAGCACGTCCAAACATCAAATCAACAACCAAACGTTCACCCAAATCACCAGACAAGAAGAAGACTAAGAAAGTTGTAGAATCAGAGGAAATAACAGAAGGTAGGAAGATGGCAGATGCAACAAAAGGAAGCTATTTCTTAGACAAAATGCCCTGTAGGTGGACTACTTACATAAGACTGTTCTCAGAGAACAGGGTAATCTTAGGAGTCATGAAAGGCTCATTACTCGATAACTTTGTTTGACTTCGCTTTAAGTCAAAGTTTAAAACAAATTGTAAACCCTCAGTTATTTATAGTCTTCTTATTTACCAAACCTAGCATTAGTCTGGATTAGAAAAAGTCAGAAGGGATAAATGTTACGTAAAAAATAAATATAAAAACAACCCCATGATTTTCTTTGTAGAATAATTGGATTCTGTGAGAAATTTTGGCAACTATGGTAAAGTTGAGAGATATTAGTTGTAGTACTAATATCTGTGATAAGCTCAGGTTCCTTGCTTCTGACAAAAGAGCAGTTCATCATGTTATTTGTAAACAAAAGCAGAACACAGATATTTGTAGATCAGTAAACAGAATTTCTTATTGCATTTGGACTGGCAGTTCTTTTTTGTTTGAAATCACAGTTGGTGTGATCAACCTTTTTTATTTGATTTATAGAACATTCTGTTTCTGAAAATCAAGAGTCCTCCTCCTCCTCCTCCTCTTCCTCTTCTTCTTCAACTATTCGGAAAGTCAAGTCTTCCAAAAATTCAGCTGCTAATAGAGAATTACAGAAGAAACCCAAAGGTTTGAGCATTGATAAAGATCAAAGACTATATCAATGCCATATTAACAATGATTATTTAAAAGTAATGTGTGTTGGTAGAATGAGAGTATCTCAAAATATGGGGGCGGGTATATAACTTTATAAAAATTATCTTAGAAAGTACCAAATGAATACTTCCTACAGGAAATTAGTACCAAATAGCTGCGAGGCCACTCTTAAAAGCAAAGGACAAGCAGTGACTGTGGAACCACGGGATGGTACCCGAGATGATTATTTATGGTGTTCTACTGCAATTCCTGTCTACCTGTTAGCATTTTGCTTTCTTCCCTTTCCTCTATCTTCCTTGTTTTCATTTTCCCCTCCCCAGCCTTTTGTTTTTTTAAACAAACACTTATATGCTGCTTAAATGTTTTTACAAATATTAATCCATTAAATTCTCATAAACCTCTAAGAAGGGGAATATTATCCACATTTTACAGATCCTCTTTACTATTTTCCTAGAAATTATATCTGGCTGATTTTTCTCTAGTAGAGAATGTGCCACAGAGTAGGCTATTACTGCCTGAAAGGAGATTCTCTCTGTTCTCTTTATTATTTCTTCAAGTTCCAAAATATGTTCTCTTTCTCCAGGAAATACTGGATTTTGGACAACAGAGTTTTAGAGAACTCCATTTCCTGGGTGGTTGAGATTTCCTCTGAAGCATTCTCTCTAGCTGAATAGCCAGATATTTAATCATAGTCATCCAGAAAGTCTTGCACACAATAAAAGTGTAATACATGTTAGCTAAATGGAATTCATCTCAGTGAAGTGCCCCTTGGGCTTTGTAGTTCTCCTATGGGGTAGCTGCTATGGGAAATTCTGCAAAATAGGGTCTTTCTGCTGCCATGGCTGCTACTCCCTGTCTCCAGGGACTGTCAAGTTTAGTTAAGCAGAGGACAGAGAGCAGCTAATAGGCCTAGGTATGAGAACAGGGCTCAGCAGGGGCTTTGGGGATAATTGGGGGAGATTTCCTCAGAGCTGGCTGAAGAGGCCTATACGGTAATTGATACAGTGCAACTAGATGTTGGAAGGAAGGAAGGAGGGAAGGGAGGAAGAAAACAAGAAAGGAAAGAAGGAAGGAAGGAAGGAGGGGAGAGACAGAGGGAGGAAGGAAAGGGCACTGGGCACTGAAGAACAAGAGGAGTAGAAAAAGTGAGGGGTCAAGAGCATTATATAGAGATGAATTAGTACTCTGACGAGATGAATTACTGATCATGTTGTTGATTTCAATATTGCCACTAAAACTTCTCTGTATTAACTGTATAGGGTTTCACTTGTACTTTTCATTCCTTACATCATGCAGCCCAACAAGATAGGTTGAGTATTTACCATTTCACAGTAAATTAATGGATATATTAGAGGTTAGCAATTTGCCTAGAAACACACAACTAGTCAATGATAAAGATGGGATCTTTAGGTCACTATTAAAAGAAAAAATTATTCTAAAATAACAAGATGTCTATTTTTTCCTCTAGTAAAAGATAACAAGAAAAGAACTCCTAAAAAAAAACCTACCCCAGAACCACCAGCTGAAGAGGAAGCTGGAAGTGGCCCAGATAATCCTGACATTCCTACCACCCAACCCAATAAAGTTACTACATCTCCCAAGATTACAACAGCAAAACCAGTAACCCCTAAATCCAGTCTTCCACCTAATTCTGATACATCTGAAGAGACATCTTTGACAGACAATAAAGAAACAAAAGCTGAAACTAAAGAGACTACTGTAACAAATAAACAGACTTCAACTAGCACAAAAGAGACTTCAGCTAAAGAGACACGGAGTGCAGAGAAAACATCTGCTAAAGATTTAGCACCCACATCTGAAGTGCCTGCTAAACCTACCTCCAAAGCTGAAACTACAACCAAAGCCTCTGCTCTCACCACCCCCAAGGAGCCTGCACCGACTACCACCAAGGAGCCTGCACCCGCTACCACCAAGGAGCCGGCACCCACTACCACCAAGGAGCCGGCACCCACTACCACCAAGGAGCCGGCACCCACTACCACCAAGGAGCCGGCACCCACTACCACCAAGGAGCCTGCACCCACTACCACCAAGGAGCCGGCACCCACTACCACCAAGGAGCCTGCACCCACCACCCCTAAGGAGCCTGTACCCACCACCCCTAAGGAGCCTGTACCCACCACCCCTAAGGAGCCTGCACCCACCACCCCTAAGGAGCCTGTACCCACCACCCCTAAGGAACAACCTCCTACCACTCCCAAGGAGCCTGCACCCACTACCCCCAAGAAGCCTGCACCCACCACCCCCAAGGAGCCCGCACCCACCACCCCCAAGGAGCCCGCACCCACCACCCCTAAGGAACAACCTCCTACCACTCCCAAGGAGCCTGCACCCACCACCCCCAAGGAGCCCGCACCCACCACCCCCAAGGAGCCCGCACCCACCACCCCCAAGGAACCTGCACCCACCACCCCCAAGGAGCCTGCATCCACCACCCCCAAGGAGCCTACACCCACCACCCCTAAGGAGCCTACACCTGCTACCACCAAGGAGCCTGAACCTACCACCCCCAAGGACTCTGCTCCAACTACCTCCAAGGATACCACACCTACCATCCCCAAGGAGCCCACACCTACTGATCCCAAGGAGCCCACATCTACCACTCCCAAGGAACCTACTCCTACTATCCCCAAGGAGCCTGTACCTACCACCTCCAAGGACCCTGCTCTAAATACCCCCAAGGAGCCCACACCCACCACACCCAAGGAGCCTGCTCCAACCATGTCAGAGGCTTCTACTTCAACTACCACCATGGAGCCTCCTGCTACCCCTAAGACCCCTCCTGAATCAACTCCCGAGTTCTCCGCAGGACCCACACCAAATCCTCCTGAAAACAGTCCCAAGGATCCTGCTGTACCTACAACTAAGATTCCTGCAGTGACCAAACCCCAAATGACTACAACAGCTCAAGACAAGACAACAGAAAAAGACATACATACTGTTCCTGAAATTACAACAGCAGCACCTAAGATTACAACAAAAGAGACAGCAACTACAAAAGAAACAACTGAATCCAAAACAAGTACAACCACACAGGTAACACCTACCACAACTCAAGATACCACATCAGTCAAAATTACTACTCTTAAAGCAACAACTCTTGCACCCAAAGTAACTACTGCAACAAAAAAGACAACTACTACAACTGAGACGACTACGAAAACACCTAAAGAAACAGCTAAACCAAAAGATACAACTACTAATTCTAAAGCGACAACTCCTAAACCCCAAAAGCCAACTAAAGCACCCAAAAAGCCCACTTCTACCAAAAAACCAAGACCAACAGATAGAGTGAGAAAACCAAAGACAACACCAACTCCTCCAAAGATGACTACAATGCCTGAATTGAACCCTACATCTTTAGCAGAAACCAGGCTTCAAACCACCACCAGCCCTAACCAAACTCCAAATTCAGAAATAGATGAAGTATATCCAAAGAATGACGATGCAGATGGTGCAGAAGAAAAACCTCACATGATACCTAGGCCCCCGGTGTTAGTTCCTATAGTTATTCCAGGCATTGATTATTCAGTGAGAGGACAAAATCAAGGCATTGTCATCAACCCTATGCTTTCAGGTAATAAGAACCACTTTCATTTTTAAAACTAGTAATGTTTATTTACATCTATCTTAACCAGAATGCCCTGATTTAGGATCACTGTACTAAGATATATTACCTAGAACCCAGACCTTATTAACTTGTGAAGTTTTACAGTTCCCCTGTAGGTCAGAAGAGGAACAATCATAGTAAGCTTAATCAGTCTTTAGGAAATTGAGTAATAATCCAGGGCTAGGAATTTAGTGTTTCTGTGTCTGTAAGAAGCAGACACGGTACTGTCAAAAAAATCTGTAGTATTCTTTTCGAAACCAACCCAAAAGCAATCAGAAATGGAATTGCACATTGAGTTCACACATCCAAAAAATGTCTAATTTACCTGAAGATCAAGGTAACCTGGCCCATTTAAATTCATAATAACTTATTTTATATATACTTTTGAATACCGTAGTATCACCTTTAAGTACAAGGGAATTACGAAGTATATCACTTCTTTCACCTCTGAAATGCAATCACCTCAAACCGTGCCCTTCAAGATCTTAGAACAGGGTAAACAGGAAATGGAATCCTGTGGGAGGACTTGAAAATAACATACTTTTCTCATTCAGTTCTATATATTTGTTTTTTGTTAATTTGTTTAGATGAGACCAATTTATGCAATGGTAAGCCAGTAGATGGACTGACTACCCTGCGTAACGGGACATTAGTTGCATTCCGAGGTGATGTATACATTTCTCTTTCTTCCCATCATTTTGTTTTGGCATTTATGAGAACCAAAGCCATGGAGGAGTGCTAGTTTGGGCTGAACTTTCTGGAGGGGCACCTGATTGGTAAATCTACCTCACACAATGAGAACTTGACAGTATAACCAAAATATTGGATTAGTAAAATTAGATAAATTGAAGTAACCAAAAACCTTAAATTGATACTACAGAGGCTTTTCTCCTACTGTTAGGATTTAAAAGGTAGTTCAAATTTTACTTTCATATCAAATGAAATGACATAAGAATTTGTATTCCCTGCTTTGTTTTATTTGAAAGTAACATCTAAGCTGTGATGTGTTCAAAAGTGTTACATTCTTTGTGGAAGAGTAACAGGAGAAAAGCAATTATTTCATGTTAATTCTCTACTAGTCTAGGCTTCTTAAAATATATTTAGATTAAATCTGAAAACATGCTCACACAGTAAATACTCTGAAGAGATTTTCATAGTCATTAAGTTGTAACTCCTTAATTCTAAAAGAAAAAGCCAAAAGGCTCTTTCTAGAGAAACTGGAAAACTAAGATAGCTCAAAGGTTATGCTAGATTTCTCTGGACTTGAGAAATACCTACTTTCAGAAATGTTCAAATATTATCTTCTGTAACTGCCTAAACTTCCAGTCATACAATGCATAATATAATTTTTTTTATAACCATTTAAAACTTTTTCATTTTGGTTTCTTTGGAATAGGTTTTAGTACCCAGCTTATAGGCTGATGTCTCTCTTTAAATTTTAGGTCATTATTTCTGGATGCTAAATCCATTCAGTCCTCCGTCTCCAGCTCGCAGAATTACTGAAGTCTGGGGTATTCCTTCCCCCATTGATACTGTTTTTACTAGATGCAACTGTGAAGGAAAAACTTTCTTCTTTAAGGTAACAAAAATATCTTTATGAGAGAAGTCAGTAAATAGTAACTGCATTATGACAACATGAACCATTTTACCCTCCAATTCAGACGTGTTTCCACATTTTAATTACTCTATAATCAAAATTTAATCATAAATACTTAATTTGATAACATTAATGGTCAACATATTACAACATTTAAATAATGTTAACACTTTCTTCCTACACTTAAATCTAAAAATGAGTTACTAACCTTTTTCAAAGCTGTTAACATCATTTTCTCTTTTAAATTGTCAGGATTCTCAGTACTGGCGTTTCACGAATGATATAAAAGATGCAGGGTATCCCAAGCAAATTGTAAAAGGATTTGGAGGACTAAATGGAAAAATAGTGGGAGCTCTTTCAATAGCTAAATACAAGAACAGGCCTGAATCTGTGTATTTCTTCAAGAGAGGTATGTGTTATATAATTGACAAAATTATAAAACTTTTAAAGAATTGATTTTTATTTAATTCTTTAATGTATTACTGGGTTTACTGTCAAAAGATATCTTTAACGGCTGAAATCAAATATTTTCAAGGAAAAAATCAAAATTGAAGGTTGTAAAAAGTATTTAGATGTCTTGTCAGGTTCATCTGAGTTTTCAGGTCACTGACGGAATGTCATCATTTACCTTCAATTAATGTTAAATATATAACTATGCAATTTGTTGCGTTTATGCATTCAACAAGTATTTCACAGTTAGTAATTATTTTTAATACCCTTGATTAATATCCATTATTAATATCTAGACATTTTATGAAAACAAGAAAAAATTGATCATTTTTTCCACTTTGTAAAAGTTCTTTTCTATCTGGGAGAGTTAAATCAATTTTCATATTCTATGTGACTTTCTCACACATAACAGGTGGTAGCGTTCAGCAGTATACTTATAAACAGGAACCTGTCAGGAAGTGCCCTGGAAGAAGGCCTGCTATACATTATCCAGTGTACGGAGAAACGACACAGGTTAGGAGACGTCGCTTTGAACGAGCTGTAGGACCTTCTCAAACACATGTCATCAGAATTCAATATTCACCAGTCAGAGTTGTTTATCAAGACAAAGGTAAGATTTTTATTGTGTTAAAAATTCTTAAACATAAAGTAAACATAATATAGGTTCTTATAGAGTAAGGCTTATTAAATATAAATAGTGACCTAATAATTTAAGATTATTTATGCAAAACACATCAACTTGCCTTACTGAATAAACAGAGCAATATTTTCTTTTTCTTTGTGGGTAAGGAAAACAGTTTACTCAGCTTTGTTAGTTGTAACAAATACTATTTGTCAAGTACTTCTTACCAAGAACATTATATACAAATCTGCAGCCCTCAACAGTTCTAAAAGGTAGCTATCAGTGCTGTATCAGAGGGCAAAAACTGAAGCACTGAAGTTAAATAACTTACCTAAGTAACAGCTACTAAGTGAATAAACTGAGATTAAAACCCAGGTCCAAGCTGGGCGCGGTGGCTCACGCCTGTAATCCTAGCACTCTGGGAGGCTGAGGCGGGCGGATTGCTCGAGGTCAGGAGTTCGAAACCAGCCTGAGCAAGAGCAAGACCCTGTCTCTACTATAAATAGAAAGAAATTAATTGGCCAACTAATATATATATAAAAATTAGCCGAGCATGGTGGCGCATGCCTGTAGTCCCAGCTACTCGGGAGGCTGAGGCAGAAGGATTGCTTGAGCCCAGGAGTTTGAGGTTGCTGTGAGCTAGGCTGACGCCACGGCACTCACTCTAGCCTGGTCAACAAGCGAGACTCTGTCTCAAACAAACAAACAAACAAAAAAAAAACCCAGGTCCATCTGGCTCTTTCCAAGATATTGTCTTTTAATTTGATACCTTTTATTAAAAATGTCATCTGCAGGTTTCCTTCATAATGAAGTTAAAGTGAGTACACTGTGGAGAGGACTTCCAAATATGGTTACCTCAGCTATCTCACTACCCAATATCAGAAAACCTGATGGCTACGACTATTATGCCTTTTCTAAAGGTAAGTCATTAAGCATAACTTTGATAGCTTCTTAAGGAGGTGATATCACTTGTGAAAATATGAATATAATCACAGCAAAAACACCAACTATGTAATGGTGACCGAAAGTGAGAATTTAAACTATAGTATTCTCATTGCTGTGAAAAAGAGTTTTTAGGTTTTTGCTTGTATTTCAATTAAACTGAATGGTACTGCCATTCAATTCTGCTCTAACCTTCACGAAATTATAATAAAACATCCAGCTACTTGAGTAAAACTGCTACTGAAAACAGTATTTTACTTCTATCATCTGTGGCATTTAATAGATGCCTTGTATGACACAAAATTTTACTCATTTGTATCAATACATAGTCTAAAAGATCAGAAAGAAGTTTCTGAGAAATTAATTTTACTAATTAAATTATATTACCTAGGACACTTTTTTGAAAAGCCCACCAATGTAAGTTATTCTGCCTATGATTCCATAATACGAATGACATCAGAATGTACTGTTAAAAAGGATTAACTTAAGTGAATTATTTTTCAGACTAATTCGGTTATTTTTTAAATGCTTACTTCAAAAAGGAGAGTTGAGCCAAATTTTACTGGAAGATGTTGAAAGGTCAATCTTTTGAAAGGTCAAAAAAGCTGAAAGGTAGAAAGGTCAAAGTAATTGGTTTTTTTTTTGTCAGTTCAAATTAATTAATAAAAACATTTCTCATATTAAAATGATAAATAGTATCTTTGAGCATAATAATCAGCACAAATTATTTTTGAGTTTTGAGTGTTCTTTTTTCCTTTTAATTAAAAAAATGATTTCTCTTCCATTTAGATCAATACTATAACATCGATGTGCCTAGTAGAACAGCACGAGCAATTACGACTCGTTCTGGGCAGACCCTATCCAAAGTCTGGTACAACTGTCCTTAACTGATGGGCAAAGGAAGAGTCAACTAATTAAAATGAAGAAGAGAATAATAAACTTTGACACTGAAATACATTTTATTAATAAAGAATGTTGAGATAAGCATACCAATTTAAATATAAAAATGTCTGTAAATGCGACAATCATTACACTAAAACAGATGACAATCTTATTCAGTTATTTTAGTTTATAGACCATTTAATTAATATTTCCTCTATTTATTCCTCCTCTACCTCCCATTGCATGGCTCACACCTGTAAGAGAAAAAAATAGAATAAAATTGAATGCATCTTTAAAGATAGCTCAAAACTAGGATATTCCCTTATTTTAGTAAGTTCTTTGAGAGATTATTTTCAATATGAAATATCAAAGCACTGTGGATATGAAACAGATATTCCACATCTTTAATGGAAATCATTACAATAATCAGATTATTAACATTTTAAATTCTTTTTACTAGCTAAAACCAAGTCATAAATTTCATTCTGTTGTATAAAAAATACTTAACAAAACAATGACAATAGGCAGAGATATAACAAATGATTATAGCACTATAATACTTTAGATTTTTCAACTCTTAATTGGGATTTAAGAAAGAAATCAATATATAAACTATAAATACATATTTATCATATCTATGGTATATAAATCTGTCTATAAGAAGCTTATAAATTAGCAAATATCACGTTTCACATGTAATTATTTAATTAATCCTTGGAATATTTAAAAAATTAAATGGGAAGCTTAGGATTAGAAAACGTGTTTCATTTATCACTATCTCACATCTATTATGTAATCAGTAGATTAGAAATTCACCTCTCTGTCTGTTAAACTGACGACCACGGACACCTTGTCTCAATGTTGTCTGAAGTCTTACTCGTCTGAAAGGCTTTGGCTGACTACTGCTAGTATCTGAGAAAAACATTAAGATACAAAAAAAGCAAGTTAAAACAAGAAGCACTTATAATGACACAAACTAATTACTAAATGAATGTATGGATAACATGTAGACATGTCCATTTACATTTAATATATTTTTTTTTTAGCAAAGAGAGGACATTTAACAAACCAAAAGAGGATAAATGGTTAAAAAAAAATCTTATTTAAGAAAAAATGTGCCTCGCTTTTTGCATTCACTCACTCAACTAATTTAATAAATATTTAATTGGTGACTACTCATGTATCAGACATGGTGCTAGGTGCTGGGAAATACAATGGAAAACAAATTATCAGGTCCCTTAGCAAATAGCCCAAACAACAGAACATGAATCATATCTGATACTTCTGTTTTGGACACCCCAAATCTAATCATTAGCAAACCCTACAAGCTCAAATTTAAATATACATTCCAAATCTAACCACTTGTCATAGTCTTAACTCTACCATCCTGCCTAAGCCATCACCATCTTTACTTTGAGTTATTGTAATAGCCTCCAAACCTTTTCCTTGTTTCTGTCCATTACTTATTTTTCATCTCTTCTTTACATAGCAGCCAAACCATACTATTAAGCCTTTAAGTCAGATCATGTCATTACTCTGCCTGAAGCTCTCTAATAGCTTCCTATACCCATGAAAGCCAAGGCAATTACAATGATCTACTTGATCTATCTTCTCCCACCCCCAACTTATCATGTGAAGGTTCCATGGCAGAGTTCAAGAATTATTCCTATAAACAATTCAAAATGAAAATAATCAGAGTAAATGACTGAGTACTGTATTTCCTCAATAATAAAGGTAATTTCCTGCCTAAAAATTTTGAGATAGATAAACTAGTATGGTATATTGTTTAAGAGTAGAGTCTCTGGAGCCAAACTTTATTTTGCATTTTGGCTTATCCATTACTTATTGGTTATTTGGCCTTGAAGATATTATTTGTCCTTTCTGTGCCTCAGTCTCAACATCTACGAAACAGGTATGAGTATCTACCACGCTGAGATGTTGTGAGAATCAAAAGAGTAAATATATATGCAAAGGGCTTAGAATATGGCCTGATACCACAGAAAGTGCTCAAAAAAAATGCTAATTGTTATTATATAAAAGAATAACTTTTCTTACAGGAAAGATACATAATATCTTTTTTAATAAAATTAACTTCAAATTTGAAAAGCCAAATTCTGAAACTGTTTACCTCAGTAAACTGCAAACATTTTTTGAAGCAACAGAGCTTCTACCTTTCAGCACTCCACATCAAATGTCATGTAGGACCCCAGTATACTGAACAACCAAAAATGGAGCTGCTCTGGTTCACACAGAGGCAAGACGCCTGGAGTACTTACCCCTCCCTCCTTAGCTTCCCTCCCAATATGCCCATCCCCTACAACCCCTGTAGTACCTCTAAGAGACCCAAGAACTCTACGGAACAGTATGTTGAGAACCACTTGTCTAGATGAAACATTAAGGGAACTATTCTTTTGGGATGGATCCACCATATCCATATTTCTGGTTATCAATGTCAGAATATTCTTAGAATAATGACTTCAGTATAAACCAAGTTCCCTTTAATTAAAAAACTTCCCTTCTAAATAAAGCATTTTAAAGTACAGGAAAAAAAAAGGTTATGGATTTGTTACTAATATGACAGTGTTTTCACAAACAAATTTGATGTATAACATTTGTACTGTAGTCAAGAGCAGGAACTTACCTACAGAGGAGCTGGAAGGAGGATCCTGGCTGGTAGAAGGGAGATCTGACTCATCAGATACCTGAACAGGCTCTTCTTCCTGCTGGCTGTCAATTTCTAGGCCTGCTTCTGAGCTAATACTAAGGAAAACAAAAATTGATCAGAAAATATAAAACTGATTCTAGAATGTATCCTAAATTATTTCCAAACTTTTTAAAATCTAGTTTATCACTTAAATTATCTAAAACTCCCCTTAAACTAAAAATTACAGATTCTGATATTGGTAACCAAACATATTTTTTAAAGGCGCAGGGAAGAAAAGAGGTCAAGTTGTTTTTTCCTCATTCCTTTTCTCAAAAGGATATGTTCCAATTTGAGATTTTGTTTTTACTTTTTTTGTTTCCCTCTTTCCTTTTGACAAGGATTCCACATTCTTGACACTCATAGGATATATATTGTCCAGATTTTCATAAATTCCAAAACTTTTTAGGAGAACAGAGTACTAAAATAATTCAAATTAGTCACACTACTAATAGTATACCAGGAACTGCCCATAGGCTTCTAGCCCACAGGAGATAGGCTTTGGGGATGTGAAACTCCTGGCTCTATGGTGACAACTCCATCCTTCTTCCACTCGAGAAGCCAGTGAGGGAGATAGTATAAGAGTAACATGAATCTGCTCCAGGTTTTTAATTCATTTGCAAACTTCAGTGGTTATTAGTAATAATATACCTGAGCAGTATCTCTTAGGACTATATGCTGAAGTTGAGAAGTGCTGGTGAAATGTAAAGAGCATGGGACTGGAGTGAGGGTTTCAAATCCCATCTGAGCTGGTTACCAACAGTATAGCCTAACAGAGTTATTTTAACATGCTCTGTGCCTGAGGTTTTTCATTTGTATAATGGAGATAATACTTTGCAGTGATAGTGTGTGAGTTAGATATGACATATATAAAGTGATCTGCATCTGTATGGAATTAATGGCAGCTAATATACTCAACAGGGTCTTTCACTTCCCCCATTAAGCAGCACTGTGTTAAAGAGTAACAACAGACCTGCTTTCCTTATATACTATAGCTGGCCTATAATTCTTGTAAGAAAATGTTAAATAAAATAAAGTTCTTGAGTTCTACCTAGGACATCTGGGTTCTACTTCTAGCTTCTGATCATGAGGTGGTCCAGTTTTTTCATCTTATAAAGAATTAGAGTCCATCTTGAAAGTTAAACTTCTGTAAGATCACTGTCCAATGGCTCTTTACATTAAATTACACCATTTCCTTTGATTTATTAAAAAGTCCAGAGGACTTGTCACAAAATACTTTTGCTAAACTTTATAACTGATGTGTTAAAAATGTAGTCATGTCTTGAAAACTACTAGAAAAATCTCATTTTTATGAAGCCAGTATTTTAGGCATCAAAGTCTAAATGCGCACAAATAAAGAATGAGGATCCCTTGAGAGCCCACTGCTAAATGGAAAGTGAGTCATTCCCAATATTCCTAATTTTCACAGAAAGGCTTCTTTCTTAGGGAAAAGTTCAAGCAGCTATGTTAATGGAAAGGTACCAGTATTTTTAAACAAATACTCTGATCTAGAATGTATCATACAATTTTCAGGGAGACAGTAGTTTTAAAAATTATTTGTGTTGTATAATAATCTTCAAGTTCTAAAATACATTACTATATGCAAAAGAGTCTTTCAAAGCATATGGCTTGGTTTGTTTTTTTAGTAGGATGCTACTGAAAGTGAGCGCAACACATTTTTCCAGCTAAAGGAAAACAAATACAAAATCTGATGAGTTTAAAGCAGGGAAAAACTGTAAAGTAAATTACCCTTCGGATTCTGCCTCCACAAATACTTCATCTCCATCATCACCTGTTGCTGTTTCATTTGTTGTAGATAAAGTGCCAGTGGACGTTGTCACCATTGGAACAGACTGAGAGGCATGCTCTGAAGCATCAGAGGTGGTACTCTCAGTAAACACAGTCACTTTAAAAGGAATAAAACAATAAAAAAAATTAAAATTTTAACTCTGCAGCTTATAAAATTTTTAGCCAGAAGATATTTTATAGCTTCCATTTTACTTTTATAATTAAGACATGAAATCTACTAATCTGCCTTTGATACCCACCTGGGGCTGCTACTTGTAGAGGAGTAGTGGGAACACTCCGGCCACCTGACTCTTCTTCATGTGCTAGGAAGAGGGGTGTTTCATACATTCCTAAACCTAAAGACAATTCTGAATATTAATGAATGACTGAAAGAACATAAAATTGTCAATATGCCAGGTACCTGAAAGAAAAACATTAATTAGTGGAGACACACAATTTTGCTAAAGCCTGTAATTTAATTATCCCATCAAACAAAAATCAATCTTTCAAATTTTAAATACAATTTAAACATATACTTTAAATTCCCTCACACTAATTAAAGTACCTTTAAGCTAAAATGCTCTTAATGGTTTTGTACAAGCTAACTTCTCTGAGGTATCCAACTATGAACAAAGTACTATATTATTATCTATTCCTCACCAAAACAGCAAGGTATTTATCACCCCCCTTTTGCTAATGAAACTTAAGTTCAAGGAGGCTATTTAACTCTCCCCAAGGTTACAAAGTTAGTAAGTGGTAGCATTCCGATTTAAGCCTAGATCTGACTCCCAAGCTTAGGAAATTGTCCTAACATACAAAGTCACATAACACTTCAAATGTATAAATTCAACTTATAATTTCTTAACAGTAGAGAGGCCTGTAGGATTAGAACTAAAATCCTAAACAACCAGGTGTCACATTCAGTAAGTTTTATGAGGGCTGCAGATTAATCTTTTGTATTGGGCTTACTATTAACAAAGTATGCATTCTATGTCTACTTATAAAATGCCAGATAGCTTTCTAGAAATAACGTGGGCTATATGAATCCCAACTGAAGATTAAAAGGTAATAAATTTCACAAACAGCATAATTCACATGCAGAAAACCAACTACTTCTATTACTTAATTTAGGGGTCATTTTATTCCATATATTTTGAACATTTTTTTGTTAAGTAATCTTAATGGAAAAAATAAAACTAATCTTATACTTTTACCCAAGAATGTTACAAGTGTCAAACTGTAAACAGGTAGTACCTATGGTATATTTACTGGTTCATTATATATTTCTGAATATTTACTTCATGTATGACACTATACTAGGAGCCAGAAGAGATGCACAAGTAAAAACCAGTCCTTATGCTCAAAGAAATGATAACTTTGTTGAAAAGATAAGATTTATATTTAAGGCAATGCTTAATAAGTATATTATAGCTTTCTTTATAAATTAGCAAAGGGATTTAAATATCAACTTTTAAAATATTTATAGTTGCTCTTTTCTTAAAATTTAAAATCATAATAGTTGATTACTGAATACATACAAATCCAGGAAATCTAAGGGTTTATTTAACTATTTACCTCCTTGAGAAGCAAGCTGGCCAAGATCAGAATGACTAGAACTTGTCTGTGGCATATCTTCAGGTGGCCCAAACCGGAATCTAGGAACACCAGCAACCTGTGGGGAACTAAATGGATAAAAATTAGTTTCAGACGAAACTTACAAAGTTACCTTGTTTAAACCACAAAGGTGGAAAGAATATAGGAAGAAGAAAGAATGAGCATCAACAAATTGGGAAAGAAATAGATTGAAAATAAAGTCAATAAAGGGTATTTTACTTATAAAAATACTCAAAATATCAGCTATTAGTGAATTTAGTAATAATATGAATAACCTGTGATTTACATAGAACTATCTTTTAGCTCTTCTGAACTATGCCTCATATTTCCTGAATCTGTTACATATTGCCACATATATATATTGAAAACAACACAAACTCAACAAAAAGCATAAAAAGAGAGTTAGAATGAAGTCATGAGACAAAATTTTATCTTAGTTTTCACTGTTGAGTCAGCAAAAAATCAAGTCACCTGTCTGGCCTTGAGTTCACTAGCTGGTGCCCAAGGTTTTGAAAAATTCTCTTAGATGGCTAAAAACTTGCTTTCCCCATTATCCTAACAACACTATCATTTATTTTTTCTGCCCACAATCCAGAATAAAAAACTCAGAATTATTTCTTCCTTTGCCCACTCTGTACCCTATCCTTCATTAGGTAGCCAGCTATTAATACTTAACAATTATACTCTATAATACCTCTTGAATCTATGTTCTTTTCTATTTTAACACTATTGCTTTAGTTAAGGCCCTTCTCTTTCAGGTGGATTTTTAAACTTGTCTTCATACAGTTATCCTCTTATGGAAAAATGTCGAGCTCTCCTGAGCTAGCCCTCGTTTCCTATCTGGACGAAAATCTTAAGTAGCTCCAAGGCACTAAAAGGCTACCTGTTGATTAAGGCCTCATTCTACTTTTTCAGTCTTATCTTTGTTAGATAATCAGATTATACCTCAATATCTGAAATAAAAAAGGCAAAGCTGAATTTATTGCTTTCTATAATAAGAGAAAGGTATGTCAGTCAGGCACATTCTCTCCAGGACTGCTATTCTTACACAGGATTTTTAGGGAACATGGGGTTGAGGGACTGGTGACTATTAAAGGCTTTAGTTTGACATCTGTAGAAGCCCATTTATTTGGGTGAAAATGCTGTTGATACTTGAAACTGTGAAAATGTTGGCTGATACTCAGAGGCATGTTATTGAAGTCTCTTCCTGATTGCTGACTTTCAGAAAGGAGGAGCTTACACTAGTTGGTAGGCTTGCAAAAGTGTGTTAGCTCAGATATACTATGGTTAACTAAGTGCATTTAAAACTGGTCCTGACTGCCATGTTACCATAGCTACAGAACAATTAACCTTTTTCCAATTTTGTGGAAACTTTTTTATTTTGATCTTCAAGTAAATCTTGCTATACAAATAACAGTTCAGCCACAATGAAACATGTATACTTCCATATGGAAAGCCTTTTAATCTTTCAAGAGTAGTGCTATAGCATAACAGCTAACATAAATTCTAGAGCCAGACTAACTGGTTTGAAACCAAAAAACTGTTACTTCCTGGCTGTCTGTCCTCAGACAAATAAGTTAACATCTCTGGGCTTCAGTATCCTTATCTGTAAAATGGCAATGATAACAGTGTCTACCCTCATAATTATGAGGATAAAATAAGATGATACATAAAAATGCTCAAGCAATGTTAGCTATTCTTTTCCAAGACTGAATTCAATGTCCTCTCCATTAAGTCCTCTCAGATTCTTTTTCCCTAATTGTTGGAATAAATTACTTCCTCATTTCTATTAACAGAGCTTATTGTTTACACCTTTAGTTTTCTTCTAGACTGCTGAAGTTATAGTTAGTTGCACGTATGCTTAGATTTCACAATATTATCCATTACGATCGGTATAATTAGCAACACCTCAACCAACACCTAGATAGCATATATTACATGTCAGGTAATATCTTAAACATGTTAACACAAATTAATTCATTTAATTCTCACAACTTATGAAGTAGGAATTATTAAATTATTCCCACTTTTTATTATATGAGTATACTCAGGATCAGAGAACCTAAGGAACTTGCTGCTAGTAAGCAGTAGAGCTATGTTTCAAACACAGGCATTCTGACTTCAGAGATCACAGTTCTAACCATTGTTGTATTGTCTTTTAATTAAAAATTCTCAATAGAAGCAACTGTATTTCGTTCACCTCTGTATAATTTTCCTCAACACTATATCCTCAACCCTTCTATCCCAAGTGCTTACTAGGACACAGCAGAGAAGGGCTCAACAAATAATGAGTCAATCGAATGATAAATTAACAGGGAAACAGTATTTGGTCAGTGACAAAATATGTTTCTATTTCATTAACTTACTGAATTGCTTCAGCAAATCCATCAGTACGATGCGGCACCACAAGGGTTGGTGTACTTGGAACTGTTCTGTCTTCATCATCAAAAAAATGCTGCTGCTATGACAGAGATAGAAAACAGGCGTTAATAGGCACGTCACACATATGGACTGTACAAATATTTGCTGAATAAACAAATCACTTTTATATGATAAGTACTTACCATGCCACCTATTCCTGGAGTCAACTGAAGCCCACGTCCTACAGACTGCCTCCGGGTCATCTGAATTCTCTGAGTGTCAAGAAAGAAAGTACATTTGTCTTAAAGAATCAAGCAATGAAACAAACATCAATTATCAACAGATAGCTTATTATGCGGGCAATAAAATAACTAAAATGTTAGCAGATACGTAATCAATAGGATATTTTCTCAGAAAAAATTGCTACTATTCTTGTCCTAAAGAAATCAATTTTAATCAGTGACAAATTTTTAATTATGTACACTATAATATTAACCAAAAAAATATATTTTATTAACCAACACACAAAATATTAAGTAATATTCAAATTAAAATGAATTTATGATCCTATCTTATTTGTATGTAAATTAATTTATTCCTATCTCCTTAACTGAAAATGTTAGCAAGTAGGCCTTTGGATCTTAAGCCTTAATTATTCTTTGGAGTTCAAAGAGCAGTACTGTCTTCTTATAAATTGCTTCCCAGTTAGGGTCATTCTAAATTGACGGACTGGGTATATTTTGCAGCATCCATACATGGTCCTTTAGGACTTTGTATTTTCACATAATGAAGTTATTTTCATCAGTGGCACTTTAGTAGAAGTTATACTTGAAAGTGTTTTAACACACTATGTTACAGGATAAAACTCAAGCTAGATTAACAGAAGTTTTATACTTTTCCAGCTATTTCTACAAGCACTTTTCATTAAGAGATGCCCAACCCTACTTCATGCTAAATGTAAACGGTCATGCATACTTTCATCAGTTTTGAAAGTAGAAATATGTGATTACAAACAAATGAGAGAAAAAATGCTCTTCTGTTAAGTAGAATAGAAATTCCTTTTTTTAATAAACATGTGCACACTACAGAAAGAAACCTTCAAATCAGATGGTAGTGAGCTGCTAAAATATACTTTATTTTCATTAAAACCCAAGAAAATATTTTTTGTTTTTCACCTGTAGAAATAGTAACAGAATTTTATTTGCTATGACTATAATTATTTCAATTTATATATATGACTATATTATATTCAATTTTAGTAAGTCTTGCCATTCTAAAATTTATTCCATTTATGAAAGTAAATTACTGTCATATTTCAAGGAAAAGAAATCAGAGTCCAGTTTCAGTTTAGAAAATTTTGTGAGAATATATCAAAACATTAAAAAGCTCATTTAATTTCTTAAAACAAGAAGAAAAATATCTAATGGAAATGGCAAAAAAGCCAAGATTTTTAAAAGATCATTTTTCAGAATGACCGGTACTTTTAATACCTGAACTGGTGGTCCCAACTCTTGAGGTGGAGCATGAATGGTCAGTCGCGGGGGAAGTGGATGTGGTGGGCGTCTTGGTGACTGAGGGGCTCGAGGGGTCTGTCTTTCGGATGCTGACGATGGCTGCTGTTCTCTAGAGACCTCCTGGGAAAAAGAAGATTCTGCAGCACCTGTATTTCCTTCACCTATATAGGAAAAGAGAAGCTTATTTTTGAACTATTAAATTGCTACAAAATAACCTGGACAATCCCTAGAGACGTAAATCTTACCGTTAGGAATGTTCATCTCACTAATATTTTCAGAAGTAAAGTAGTAAGGTGTGTTGGGCTTTAGACTCAGAAATAATGGGGTTTGCCTGTTGCAAGTCCCATAACCCAGCAGTCCCTAACCCCAGCGCTGCGGCCTGGTACCCATCTGCATCACTGCCTGAGCTTTGCACTCGCTCCTCCACCTCACTCCTCCAGCCCCCCATCTGTGGAAAAATTATCTTCCCTGAAACTGGTCCCCGATGTCAAAAAGGTTGGAGACTGCTGCCTTAACCTCTTTGAGTTTGTTTTTTGGTTGGTTAATAGAGCAAATATAACCTATAAGTAAGGTTTTTCTGAAGATTTCAAATAATGAACATAAAGCACCTAGCAACATGTGATAAATATTTAATAAATCTTGTCTTAATAAAGTGGGCAAATTACCTAAAGGTCAGACCACTAGAATACAACAATCAAACAGGGTGAAGGAGACTGAGGAAAAGCTTTACAACTACACTTTTATATCTTGGTTTTCCCAAATTTTGAATTTCAGTGGTTCCTCAAATGTCTGTCTTCTATATACATTATAGAAACAAAAGAAGCTGTCTTTCAGCATGAAAAGTTGAACAGGGTATTACAGAATATAGTAGTTTAAAAGCCTTAAGGTCTAGAATCAGATCCTTCTTCTAATATTTAGTAGCTACGTGACTTTGGTTAAGTCACTTCTCTGTGATTCTTCACTGGTACCTGAACTTGATTAAGTTTATTGTAAGAATTAAATAGTTCAGTACAAGTAAAGTAAAGCAGTCAGTAACTTTTGGCAATATACCAAATCTATCCACTAAATTTTAGTCAGACCACATACCACTAGGCCTATTTTTGCTTGAGTGCAAGAAAAAAAAAAGAGAGAGAGAAAAGGAGAATAAAAACTCTCGATATCTGGGAAAAATAACTATGAACATTTGCCCTCAACAGACCTAACTTTTATTGATAATACCTAACGAGGCAAAAATTTTTCCCTCTTTCCCAACTATGTGATGCACACAAAATGTTTCTTAATTTACAAAATGTTTATAAAATATAAATTTTTACCCCAAGTATATCAATTTCTCTCTTCTTTACTTCCTTAAAAAGATTATTCTTTATTACATGGCTTAATATTCCTTAGTCTATTTTTCTCTTAAAAGACTTAAAAGTTGAAAGGGTTGCTTGCCCTTGCTTCATATTCATTCAAATGAGTATATATTTTGCCCTTTTAAATATTCAGGCCTCTACAGAATCCCAGATACAATGCTTTCCCATTAACCCAAATATATAAGATTTTACTATATCACTACTAATGATTTTGGCTCAGTTCTATCCGTAAAACCAGGAATATTATACTAGCTGATTGCTAATTCTTGAAGACACATTTTAAAACAATGAGAATAAAATAAAATTATTTTCTATAATTTTCATAATCCTTTGCCTACAACTTTTCAGTGGACTTCCAGGACTCCTTCTTTCAAAGTTACAACAAAAGGTATACTTATACTGCTCAAAAAATACTTTTTTCATTAGAAAACCAGATCACACTGCAAAGCTCCAATATCCATAAATGTTAAAATACGAAGCTTGATTAGACTGACCTCTCCTGGTTGTGAACTGTTGTTACTGTGTTATGAACTGTTGTTACTGTGTTAGAAGTCCCTGATTTAATGTTTTCCTTTAATTAGAGCAGCAGCAGCATATGGCATTTGGAATATTTTAGAAATTTAAAAATATTTTTCTACCAATGAGGGAGAAAAGATAGTATAATGATGGCACCTAACAGTATAGTAGACTTTATGAGAGCATAGTAGTGACATAGCTAGAATAAGAGTCAATGCCGTACTTGTCAATTTACTAAGTAAGTTTTATACAGGATAATTAAATACAATTTGAGTTTAGAAAGTACTATTTAGTTTAGAAAATATTACCTAGTTTATAAATATTCAATTAAAAAAAGACTGATACAAATCTCACCACTGTTTTGAGAATCAGCAGCTCTCTGATTACCTTCACCTCCACCCATGCTTTCCTCTGTTTCTGTGCCTGGGTCAGTCCCATCACCACCCTGAAAATAAAATGTGATGATGTAAATTCAAGTAAATTAAATAAATACCTTAAAAAAACCAAACTTAATAATTAACCAAACCAAACCACAGCAAAAACAACCAACCAAAAAACCACAAAGGCATAAAAGGTTTTAGTGTACTAATGACATAGGCCTTTCTATAGCCCTAGAAAACAGCAAGTTTTCTAAGCAAGCTCGTAAAATGAATGGTAAAAATTCTAGCCAGTCACCTCAGCATCATCAGCTTCATATCCATCATTGCCATCTGCACTCCCAGTTCCTTCATTGCTATCTTCACCCTCGTCTCCCATCCCTGTGTCATCTTCGTCATCATCGTCGTCGTCTTCATCTTCTTCATAATCCTAGTAGAAATTATGAATTATTTACAGTCTAGGATATTGCCCACATGTTCTGCACATCTTGATACTAATGTAGACATTTAAGTGACTCATCATTGGTCAGGAAATAGTTGTCTTGAGTGTTGTATGGAATTAGTGCAGCAGCACCAGATATGACAACTTTGATGCTTACTAGAATTAGTAACGTGGCAATCAATTCCGAGTTCTAACTGTTTGCATGAGATCATTAAAAGATTATTGCCCCTAGATGTCAGCAAAGTGCCAAGTGGTCTACTTTAATTCTAAGTTTAAATAGGATACGTTGAAGAAGGAAACAATGAAATTACACTATACCAGAAGCTTTTAAAAAATGTTGCTTTATGGCCGGGCACGGTGGCTCACGCCTGTAATCCTAGCACTCTGGGAGGCCGAGGAGGGTGGATTGCTCAAGGTCAGGAGTTCGAAACTACCCTGAGCAAGAGCGAGACCCTGTCTCTACTATAAATAGAAAGAAATTAATTGGCCAACTAATATATATAGAAAAAATTAGCCGGGCATGGTGGCGCATGCCTGTAGTCCCAGCTACCCGGGAGGCTGAGGCAGAAGGATCACTCGAGCCCAGGAGTTTGAGGTTGCTGTGAGCTAGGTTGACGCCACGGCACTCACTCTAGCCTGGGCAACAAAGCGAGACTCTGTCTCAAAAAAAAAAAAAAAAAAAAAAAAGGAAAAGAAACAAGTGAAGTAAATTTTCATAATATACTTAACCAATATATCCAAAACATTATTTTAACACATTATTAATCTGATATTTTACATTTTAAAATTTTTACTAAGTTTTCAAAATCTGATGTGTATGTTACTCTTATCTAAGTTTGGACTAGCCTTATTTCAAGTAGTCAGTAACCAATGTGATTAGTTGACAGTGTAGTTGTAGACCAAAGTCAAAGTCAGAAAACAATATATACATGGATCTGCACCATTTTATTAAAAAATTTTCCCCTAAATTAGAAATAAACTGGAAATACATTAAATAAAATAAACCATTATTGTCTTTTTACAAAGAAACCTTTTTTCTCCCCAAAACTCTGATTATCCTAAGCCTTCAAACCACATTAAAGATATCAGATATTAAAATAATTTCCCTGTTCAATATACTTCCACAATTCTATTTTGTTAGCTACTGAAATAAACTATTATTTTAACTCAATTTCTGATATTTACTATAAAAAGTTAAATGTCTACTTTTTGGCTTAAGCAATCAGTAATATCTATTTCTTTTACAAGCCAACAACAATGTCTTTTGAACTGAGACATTCATCAAAAATTATGTATACTATAATGGAAAAAATTAGTAAGTCATGATATAATTAAAAATGTAAGGCCGGGCCCAGTGGCTCACGCTCGTAATCCTAGCACTCTGGGAGGCCGAGGCGGGCGGATTGCTCAAGGTCAGGAGTTCAAAACCAGCCTGAGCAAGACCCTGTCTCTACTATAAAAATAGAAAGAAATTAATTGGCCAACTAATACATATAGAAAAAAATTAGCTGGGCATGGTGGCACATGCCTGTAGTCCTAGCTACTCGGGAGGCTGAGGCAGGAGAATCACCTGAGCCCAGGAGTTTGAGGTTGCTGTGAGCTAGGCTGACGCCATGGCACTCACTCTAGCCTGGGCAACAAAGCGAGACTCTGTCTCAAAAAAAAAAAAAAAAAAGTCTATCTCAAAGTGACATGTTTATTTTAGGAAAAGCAACACTTACAAAGAACATCTGCTTCATTGTCAGAAAATCAGTAAAACGAACTATTACACATTCAGAGGTGTGGAATGAAAGGTCAAATGATATTTTTGAGTCACAGACAATTTTGCCAATCTCAAGAAAAAGGTTTCCATAGAATATTTTACTATAATTTAACCAAGTCTGAGAATAAAACAGAAATTCACATCTTATTATTTCAAATTATTTTATATTCTTCAGAGACAATACTCTCTGAAAGATACATGGAACAGATATCACTTTTAGTACAGGTTGAGTATCTCTTTTTTGAAATGCTTAGGACCAAAAATCTTTTGGATTTTGGAATATTTGCATATATATAACAATACATCTTGGGGGTAAGACCCAAGTCTAAACATGAAATTCATTTATGTTGCACATGTTTACACACATATCCTGAGGATAGTTATATGTAATATTTTAATAGTTTTGTGCATGAAACAAAGTTTTGATGGTATTCTGACTGTGACCTGTCACATAGGGTTAGGTGTGGAATGAATATTTCACATGTGGCTTTCATGTTTGTGCTCAAAAAGTTTTGGATTTTAGAGCATTGTGCATTTTGGATTTTCAAATTATGGATGTTCAACTTGTACTACACATTCACTTAAGGTTTAGTTTTTTGTTTTTAGTCAACAGAAGCTAGTAAAATTAACTTATAGACTGAATGTATCTAAGAAACTAAAATTTACTTACAATTTATTGTTACTTAAGATTAGCTTGAGATAATTCCTTAATTTTACATAGTTAATAAAATGACCCTAAAAGTTTATCCAGAGAGAAAGTATTGTTTCAAACTTAAGAGGATAGTTGAAAACTACATAGCCTGGGTTTAAATCCTAGCTCCAACGCTGTATGAACTTAGGTATATTACTTATCTGGGTATTAGTTTCTTCATCTATAAAATGGGGTTGTTTTGAGGATTAAATTAGTTAATAAATACAAATCTTTCTTTTTTTTTGAGACAGGGTCTCACTCTGTCACCTGGGCCAGAGTGCAGAGGTGTTATCATAGCTCACTGCAACCTCAAATTCTAGGCTCAAGTGATCCTCCTGCCTCAGCCTCCCAAGTAGCTGGACTACAGGTGCACCTCACTATGCCCGGCTCATTTTTCTATTTTTTTGTAGAGACGGGGGTCTCACTCTTGCTCAGGCTGGTCTTGAACTCTTGGCCTAAAGTGATCCTCCCATGTTGGCTCCCATAGTGAATAAATGTATTTCTCAGATCAACACTTGGCATATGGTAATGAGTTCTATGTTAAGTATTAATAGTTAACTATTAATATTATTATAGATAAATTCTCATCGTGTGTGGCAGAGGGACACAAGAAAAGTAATAGCATTTTCAGTGCCTAATATGTGGATAGATACTATTTTAGGTACTTCACAATCTTAAAAATTAAATTTTTTGAACAGTGAGACAACTGAAAGAAATAATGACATGCTGACAGTCAGAGTTTCTAAGTGGTAGAGCTAGGAATGGAACCAAGTGCTTTGTAACTTCAGTCTATAATCTTTCTGCCAGTAAAGCTGCCTCTAGAGGAATCTCAATGTGAGTTTAGAAAACGAAGTATACAAATGCATTTCCTTTTATGGAGTATTTAATTCTATAAGGGAAACAACAGAGGACCCCAGCAAATGAGGCATCATGTATTAACTCAAGACTCAACCAGCACTCTTATCCCTCAACTTAATCAAAATAGCGGATAATCTTCACTCACAACTCTGGAAAATCTGGAAATCTATGCTACATATGAACAAAAAACATTTCTTTAATATAAGTTTAGAAGGTAGTATACTCATAGGGGTAAAATAAGCAGAAATTACACTAGTGAATTCTAGTACTATTTCATTAAATATGAGAACAAGTTAAAAAAATTCCAGAAAATGTTTTGTCAAAGCTAATTTCATTCATTAAAAGCAACCATTTGTTACTTTAAGTATATTTTTACTTACTTCTCCTATGGAATCTTGAGAATCCTGGTTGTATACTTGAGTTTCTACCTCTCCATCAGTACTTTCTTCTGCCATGACTTCTTCCTGAATCATAATATGCAAGCATATTAATGTTATCAGTACACTAGATGAAGGGCTATTTGTTCTACTTGTTCTCTCAATAAAACAAAACTCAAATCTATAATTTTAAAGCTATATAAAAGAAATGTCCATTTATTTTTATTTATAATAAAAAATATATAAAAATATCATCATACTCCTCTTCAGTATATACAAGATTTGTAAACATTAATACATATGAAGTTAATTTAGTAGCCTTAATATTTGATATAAAACCTAATTCATTAAAATTTAGCTCTAACAACAACAAAAAATAAAGGATTATAATTTTGGTTAGATAAGGAGGTAGATAACAGTTTAAAATATCCATGAGACTTATAAACTTAAAAAACTATGAAATGGAATTCAACTTAGGTGTTTACAATGATTTTTTTTATTGAAATGGAAACAAATTTGATTAAAGATATGCAAAGAATAACATAAAACACTGTAGGCAATGATACCTGGGTTGTTCGTGGAAACTTTATATAGTACGTTCAATAAGAGTGTTCTCCAGATAATGCATTTTGGCTCCAAAGGTTACTTTTCCTTAGGCTTTAACTGAAAAGAATACTTTAACCTTACTGGCAAAAATAAATATAAACAAAATAACTTTACACACCTCAGTTCCAACAGGTGTAACAGTTTTCAACTTCTTTGGAAGAGGCATTTCCACTGTATCATCAGAGACTTGGTCTGTTGCTTCTACGGCACTATCCTCTTCCTCTTCACGTGTACGCTTTGGCAAAGAAGAACTTGGGGTAGCTGAAACTTTAAAAGTACATAATGTAAATCTTGAAATTAGAGAATAACTCAATTTAAACAAAGATAATTTAGCTAACATGGTCATTTAACCAAAGAAGAACACAGTAAACATTTAATTGTACAAATTATTAGAATACAATCAATTAAGTCCTAGATATATGTCCATCAACATAATTTGTTTCTGCTAATCTATGGCTAAACAAAGAGCAACTTATGCTCTGAATCAATGTTTTCAGGCCAACATAACCTTTGATTAATAAAGACCCTAATACTTACAATGAATGAGATTGTATTGATATGTATTAATAATTGCTATTTATAAAGTTTACATAGGGGCCTTTTATAAAAACCAGGACTCTCAGGATGAAAAACTTACACTGTATGTAAATCAGTGTATGGTTTTGTCTTAGGTGTCTTTTAGTCCTCAGGACCTGCAATTAAGTTATATATAGTATGTTTTGGGTTGCTTCATCTTTAAAACAAGTCAAAAAATAACTAGAGGGGAAGAAAGGTCTTAATGACAAAAATATAACTGACCTAAAATAGTCGAATTCAGGAGTAAGCACGAAATGATGTTAGGAATGCATTCATTCATTCTAATACATGGAAGAAATCAAGTATGTATGAAGAATACTCAAGACACATATTATATCCAAGCTATCATAAATGCACAGGTAACTCTAACTTCATTTTAAAATTAATCTTACCAGTGCCAAACACCGCTGTGGAGGTAGAAGGCCGCTCAACTGGTGAACTCTGAACAACCTCTACTATGTTTGGGGATAACTCTTGATTGGCAGGCTCGATCTGAGGATGACTCTGTTGAGTGGGCTGCACAAAAGCCGTAGCTTGTGTCTGTTGCTGAACAGTTAAAATGGATTGAGAGATAGAGGGCTGGACATTAGGACTGGTTGAGCGAACAGACCCACTTGTGCTTCCAAAAACTGGAACATGTTCCACCGGCCCTTCTGACTGCATAGCTGAAAAATAATCATAATGTTTAATATAAGTCATCTGTTCTTACCAAAGCTGGAATTATTCTTCCCTATTGTGGTACATGTCACATTTTGCACAGTTTTGCATAATTATTCTCCTACTACTTAAGAGACAAAAGCATTGTGGGTAAAGGTAATGTATTATGCATGTTTGTATTGCCTATGTGATTGATATGGTAGTATTCAATAAATTATTGGCTGAATTAAATAAACAAATACATATCTGAAACCTTTTGCATCTATTATTTCACTTAAATCATTACCTAATGAAATTAAGAAGTTCAAGTCAAATTAGAAGTTTTCATTAAGCATTGTTTTTTCTAATTGATACCATAACACAAAGAGTAAGTTTAATTGGTAATATGTTTGGTAAACATTTTGTTGGATATAGTCAAAATAAAATATTCTGTACTTTGATAGCATACACACAAATCATATTTCTAAATGCTTGAATAATTTACTGAATTCTAATACACATCAAGATAAAAATCTAAGAAAATATACTTATAGCAAAGTTTTGCTGAACACCTATTTTTGGAGTTCAGTAAATGGATTAAATGATAAAAAGTAAGATTCTTGTCCTTGAGGAACCCAGGGTAGTGGCATCAAAAAGCATGTACACAACTGAATAAAATAAAAAGTTGTAATTGCCTTAATAAGTAATAAAGCACCATGGGAAAAAAGTGGAGAAAGCAATGAAAACACCAGATAATTACAGTGGAAAAGTGATGTTGGGCTGAGCCAGTAATTTAGTATGGTTTTTCAAAGTGGATTTCATATCATCTTTCTTAGTCATTAGAAGTGAAAATTTTAGTCCTAGAAAAACATGCTGTATACTTTCCCACTTCTTTAGCTTAAAAACAAAGCAGAAAAGAAGAGAAGGGAGGAGGAAATTTGCTATATTAACAAATATCCTGGGAGGTATACACTTGAAACATTAAACATCCACCTTTACAATATTTGACTTCAGCTTTAGTGGATGCTTCAACTATCCTTAAAGTTAACTGTCATCATCCCATAATAACTCTAAATAAGCAGTCAGTTCAATCAGATCTATTTTATTTTACTAACCTTCTTGTGATTCCACTTGTGTGGTGGGCATCACTGTAGCTGTGGGGGTAGTAGTGGGATTTGTCACAGTTGCGGGTGTAACCATTGGGCGGATACTAGCCCTGGGTGTTGATTTATTCCCAGCCATAGCTGCAGCTGTCACTTTACTTGGAGTAGACACAACAGGAGTTGGCTTGATATTGGCTGTTGGTGGGTCTGATGTGCTGGCACTTTTTAAAATACAAAAATAGAAAAATACAAGAATAATGATTCATAAAAAATTATTAGGCAGATTTAAAACAAGTATTTTTAGAAAGACAGTGAGCACAGTTCTCTACTTCTTGGTCACTAAATGTTTCAAACTCTTAATGAAGAGGTTTCGAACTTAAGCATTAAAAACTGCTCTGGAGTGATGCATTCTGATTACGCAGAATGTATCTAACTACTGAATCGCTGAATCCAAGTCTCAGCCCAGCCTTTTTTATTTGTCACCGTATGACATCACAGAGAAAATCAGTAGTAGACTAACTTAGAAGCCAATCACAAACTAAAAGATGAAAGATGTTTTCTCTGTCACAAAGCTCTACTCAATAAGATAGAAAGTATGCTAAAAAACAAAAGTTGGCAACTACATGATAGAGTTTTGCAGAGACAAATAAATGTTTTTATAACAGAATATATAGATTTCTGGTTTCTCCCCAAAGATTACTACAAGTTCCCTGAAATTTAAAAGAAAAACAAAATCCAAACTGTAAAAGAACTAAAACTCACATTCCTCTTTCACCAGAAGCTGGAGTTGTTTTTAATGTGATCTGTCTCTGCTGTTCTGGGACCTATAAAGAGAAAATGACTGATTTTTGTGCCTTATCCCACAAGAGTCCAACAAACAATGCCATCAAAATATCTTCCTAATTCTTTTTGTATACTTTGAATTTAGCCAAAATTCATTCTGACAAAGGCTCCTGAATCACAAGGCACTTTCAAGTAAAATGTATAAAGAAAAAAAATGACTTGCCATTTAAACAGAATTAGCTAATCACCTTATTAGAGGGTTCCTGAGGTTCATCTCTCTGCTCAAGGTGTCTCTCTTGATGCTCCCTGAGTTCTCTTTCCAAGCGACTAATTCGACCTTCATATTGGGACTTAAGAGCAGTCATACGAACATCCAGTTCATCTTTCTGTTGATCCAAGGCTCCATTCCTTTGTTTAAGCTCTTCATTTTCTTTAGTTAGCTGATCTTTTACACCTAAAGAAGTACCCATGCAATGATATTTACATTATAAGAAAACGCAGAAAAGAACATTTATATGCTTAATTAGCATACAAAGATCATATCAGATTCCACTACTATACTTTAGCATCTAAATTAGTTCTGACATATTATACATCTCAATGAGCAAAGTTCTAACATATCCATGTTTAGTATTCTAATATAAAATATACTTACTCCAATAAAAATTGTAACTTTTCCTAACTAAAATCTCAAAAAGCTATAGAATTCCAGTTAGCAGAATTCTTTTACGGGAACTTTAATATTTTAATGTACCATTCAATTCATTACTATGAGTTGCAAAATTTTCATTTCATATAATCTACAGCATATATTTAAGAATAATTCAATAACTTTATGAAATAAGTTGCTGGGACACTGTCTTAGAGATCATTAAAAATAATTCACATGATAAAACCCAACAGTTTGATATTTTATTTAACTACTCAGCAGACTGGCAGGCAAAGGTGAATAAGGCCATGAGCCTTGCAGCACTGGGCTTCTCATAAATCTGACATGGCGCCCTCCCTAAAAAGCTAGAGGGGCCCTCTGTCCAGTGAGGCACAAAAAAAATCCCTGGGCTGGTAAGATCCAATGCTGTCTACAGATGGTACCTGGGTGGCACAGTCTGGGCCCAAATGATCTCTGTCACAACACAGAATTGTTAACACACTAAAGCAAAAGGATAGCAGTACCTATTATCTATTACCAGTTAACAATTAAGAAAAACTTCATAAATATATCGACATTATCATTGCACTTGAAAATTAAAACTGCTATATGTTTGTGTCTAACTAAATACACCTAATATTTAAAGCACACACTAAATAAATCACTTCATAATATGTGTACTTTTCTTCTTTCCAATGTAATTTTAAGCCTGCATCACATAACCAAGTTTTATTACCAAGTTCAAATATTGAACAGAGATTTACCAGCTAAGTGTGCAATTTTTGATTTTGCTGCTACAATAGCCTTTCTTGTTTTTTCTTCCTTTTCAGTTATCTGTTGTCGGAGCTGCTCCTCCTGTGTGGTTCTATCTTGAAGATCCTGACGAAGCCTTGAAAGTTCAGATTGAAGCTGCACAGTCTGTTCTTGAAGATTTCTTGCTTCCAACTCTTTTTCAGACAATGTCTTTTAAAGACAAAGCATTCACCATAGAATTCAATTAAATCAACATAAACTGTATGTCTGCCATATAAACTTAAAATGTAACCTTAATTTGCTTTTTATTAGATTAAATGAAAGTATAAATATAAAAAAGTGGTCAAATCAAGTAAATGGACACTTGAAGATAATTAGATACTGTTTACACATATGAGCCATTCAAAATAAAAAGAATAAATTTATGCATTCCCACATGATAAGGGAAAGTGACAGTGGCTGACTCATATTTCTTTAGGTATACAATAAGGAAAGAATTAGGGACTACACCTTTTACTGCTCTCACATGCATACCTTTTGCAGATTCTCTACTTGACTCTCAAGTGATTTTGACTTTGTTTCAGCTTGGTTGAGGGTTTCTTTGAGCTCTTGCATTTCCTGGACTGAGACATGCTGTTCCTGATGGTCTCCAGAAGACTGAGCAGAAGTCTCCATGACCTAGGATGACAAACAGTAATAATACAATTATGTATTTACATTCAGTAACTCAACTTCTGCAAGTTTATCTAAGGAAATAATCATAGTTATGCAAGGAAATTTTACCCGAGGGTATTCAAAATGAATTTTCTATAGAACAACTTTTAATGTCCAAAAATAGGGAATTAGTTAAGTAAATTATGGTTTTCCATACAACTGGATACTAAATAGATAATCAAAATGATGATGCATTATAGATGGATTTTTGACACAGAAACATATTTTCACAATAATGAGCTTTTCACTTAACATAAAGTGGAAAAAAGCAAGACCACAAAAGAACACATGCAAATGATATTTCTTAGAAAACATATTACATGTACAGAAAAGTATACTAATGTGCTAACAGTGATTAACACTGAGTGGTTAAGAATTTTGGATTTTTTTCTTTATATATTTTCTAATCCAACATAGGATAAATATGAAATTAAGTCAACATACAAATTCTTTATCTTTGGGAATTAAAAACAAGATTTAGGTTAAAAATATAACGAAGATTTCTGGATTCTTTTTTTTTTTTTTTTTTTTTGAGATCCAGAAGCTTTTAAAAAATGTTGCTTTATGGCCGGGCACGGTGGCTCAGCCTGTAATCCTAGCACTCTGGGAGGCCGAGGAGGGTGGATTGCTCAAGGTCAGGAGTTCGAAACTACCCTGAGCAAGAGCGAGACCCTGTCTCTACTATAAATAGAAAGAAATTAATTGGCCAACTAATATATATAGAAAAAATTAGCCGGGCATGGTGGCGGCATGCCTGTAGTCCCAGTTACTGGGGAGGCTGAGGCAGGAGGATTGCTTGAGCCCAGGAGTTTGAGGTTGCTATGAGCTAGGCTGACGCCATGGCACTCACTCTAGACTGGGCAACAAAGCGGCGAGATCTGTCTCAAAAC